TACGGTTAGTACCATTGTCTTTGTCTAAAATCAATGCATCAATTTAGGTATATAACACTTTAAAAACTTTATACAAGTGATCTTGCATGCCGTATGCTTTATGGGTGCTGTTGTTTGCATAACAGTAACAACATAAGTTACATAAATGTTTTTGTTTGTTTCAGGTTCAATGGAGAGTACACGTTCAAAAACTGAAGTTTGGCTCATTGGTCAACACATAACCGAAATCACGGGTGCACAACTTCCTTCAAGAGGAGATGTTCTACGTCTGTTTTTCCACGGTCACAATGAACATAAGAAAACAGTGAATGATTCTGCGAGTGAAGTTGCAGCATCGGTTATTAGTTTCTGGAATAAAGCACGGATTCCTACCATAACTGAGAAGAGTATTGGACGAAAGGTAGTGGATCTTTTTTTAATGTGGAAGGGACTTAAGAAAAACTGCACTCGCACTACAGACACACAACGTAAGAAAGAGGAAACTTTTTGTGATGAGTTAGAGGACCTCTTCGATGTTGCCCACCCCAAGGCAATGCAGCTCTTGACCATCAAAGAAGACCGAGCATTCCTGGCAGCGCAACGAGAAAAAGGGAGAAGAGGTGTAATGGCAGGAGTAGACAAAAAGATTGCTTGTTCCATCAAGCGTCGGGAAGAAAGCAAGAGTAAGCAATCTCTACAACAGAATCAAGCCAGTTCTGCTCTTGAATATGATGAGTTGGGTTCTTCGTCTGAAACAGAATCACAATCAAGCTCGTCATCATCTACAAGTTCCCTAGCGATATCACCAGTGGTATCTTCTTCCAATCGTAAACGTGCTACTCTCAAAGTTATCACCCCTGAATTGTCAAGTACATTGGACCGCACTGGGATCAGTCACCGCTCTGCTCTCCGGATCGTCAGTGCCACGGCTGCTAGTCTAGGTCATGACCCAATGGAACTAGTTTTAAACTATGAGACAGTGCGTACTTCGCGAGCGACCCACCGTTCTGGGATTGCCAACGAAATTAAAGAAAAATTTCAACCTAGTGAAGTGCTCACTGTGCACTGGGATGGAAAAATTATTCCTGATGAACAAGGAGCGAGTGTTGACCGAATCGCCATTCTTGTCTCCGGAATCAATACTGAAAAGCTGCTTGGTGTCCCGAAACTATTGTCAGGGACTGGACAGGCCATTGCTACAGCAGTCAGTGCAGCGCTGGAAGAGTGGAAAATATCAGAGAATGTTTCAGCACTCAGTTTTGACACAACAGCTTCAAACACTGGGCACTTGTCGGGGGCATGTGTCATTCTGGAGCAGAAACTCGGCCGCCGTCTTCTGCATCTCGCGTGTCGTCACCACATCCTTGAGCTTGTTGCCGAGAAAGCGTATGTGGAATGCATGGGGCCTTCCTCTGGACCAGATAATACTCTCTTCTCTCGCTTCAAGCATAAGTGGAAGGACATCAGTCAAGATGACTACAGCCCTCTCTCAGACCTCCCTCCAAGTTTGTACGAGAAACGAGATGACCTCATCTGTTGCTGGAAACATCATCTGGGCAAGAAGCAGCAGCCACGTGATGATTACCGTGAGGTACTGGAGCTAGCAATCAGGTGTCTCGATGGAGCTCTACCCAAGTTTAATCTCCAACGGCCCGGAGCACTTCACCGAGCATGGTGGATGGCTAAGCTCATTTATGTCATGAAGATCCTGATTTTTGCTAATCAGTTTAAACTAACTGCTCGTGAGACATTAGGCTTGAAACGATTCACATTCTTTGTGCTAGAGGTGTATGTCAGTGCATGGTTCACGGCCTCCGTTCCATCCTCCGCTCCTGCTAATGATTTGCGGCTCCTCCAAGACCTGTCAGAGTACCACGACGTCAAAATATCAAGAACATGTCTCACAGTCTTCGGTCGTCACCTGTGGTACCTCAGTGAAGGCTTGGTGGGTCTTGCACTCTTCGATCCACAAGTTAATGCAACAATGAAGACAAACATAGTTCGGGCAATCGTTGAGAGGAAGGCGACCGAGGATTCACCAAAACGTGCTGCTCTTCCTGCCACATCTTCCCTTCCCACAAAGCAGCTCTCAGACTTTGCTTCTAGAGGATCAAACTTTCTATTTGAAAGTCTCAAAATGAAGACTTCTTTTTTGTCCAAGGAACCTGACACATGGTCTGATGATGAAGACTTCAAAACTGGCGTCGCAGTTGTGGGTGGTCTCAGAGTCATCAACGACACTGCAGAGAGAGGGATTGCCTTGATACAGGCATTCAACAGCAAGATCACGAAGAGTGAAGACCAGCGTCAACATCTGCTGCAGGTTGTTGAAGAGCAGAGGCGGTCACAACCAGGGACATCAAAACAGGACCTTACAAGCAAAAAGCGAAAACAATGAATGGGTTGTCCACACCTCTCCCACCCATTGATGTAAGCGTGTTCACTGCAGTTTCATTTTAAAAAGGAATTAATCATTTATATGTACAGTGTACACATAAACTTGCTCAATATGTAAATTTTAAAATAAACCGGCATATTATGAATATTCGTATTTTTTGCCAAAAGGATAAAACTTCAATTGACTTGAGCTACCTCTAAATATTGTCCAAATGACCCAGGATTTCGCCTGTGTTCTTTTTTCATGGGTACGCAGTATTGGACCAATGGCCATTCCATTTAATCAATTTTAGAAATTCACCCCTATGCACTATTGTCACCCTAATGAGCAGCTTTATTAAAAATTTCGGTATTTTCTCTACATGTTTTTCTCTGAGACATTTATTTTGTAAATTATCTTATAGAACTTATCCCAAGATGGTAGTCTTTTAATTAACATCACCGGACAAAAACTTCAAAAACATTCACTCGTTACGATTGACGCCTAGAGAGCTTGCGTTATTTTTTTAAAGTTCTCATTCAGCTGACACTACAAATTAATAATTCCATGTTAATATACAAAAGTTTCACTGACAAAGCTCTGTCGGTATTTTAGACACGTTAGTGAGGCTCACACGTACACATCAGCTTCCTCCTCCTCACTCACTAAAAAGATCACAGCCTAACTTAACCTCAACTGGGTAAGGCAACATGTGCACACCAAACTTGTTACTGTACTTTATAAAATAACACTAGGTATTTTACGACGCCTTCTGAAGATGAATATAAGAAGTACCAGCCAAGATAAGTTTATGACGACACTTTATGTTGCCCACAGCTTTAAAACTTAACTGTTGTACGACACTAACCGCTGCTTCATAACCCACTGGCGGTTGGAGCAGCTTTAACCAAACATAACAGCAAAGGTGACACACAGGCGTTGTCCACTAGTGATGGACACTACTACTACTTGTTGTCGTTTAAGTTAACATGCTTGTGTTCTACTGGTACATTGTGCTGTGGTTGTTGCGGTGGTGATAGTGAATGGTGTGGTGGTGATAGTGAGTTTTGTGGTGGCGACTGAGTATTGGGGTAGTGAAAGTATGCATTGTGGTGGTGATAGTGAGTATTGTGGTGATAGAGAATATTTTGGTGTTGATAGTGAAAGTTGTGGTGTTGATAGTGAAAGTTGTAATGGTGATAGTTGGAGTTGTACTCATCACAACAATTATAACCAACACCATAACTCTTCAACATACACATCACAACAACCACAATCATCATCCCTACAACCCTTCAATATACACTTCACTCAGTCACTATTATCACCATAACCTCTGAACATGTACAGCATCACATTCATTATCACAACTACATAGTGAATGTGATGCTGTACATGTTGAGAAGTTATGGTGATAATAGTGACTGAGTGAAGTGTATATTGAAGGGTTGTAGTGATGATGATTGTGGTAGTTGTGATGTGTATGTTGAAGAGTTATGGTGTTGGTTATAATTGTCGTGATGAGTGTGATGAAAGGTTGTAGTAATTCTGTTTTCTTGTTGTGAACTCATATCTCATGTTATCATTTGCAGTGTAAAGGTTGACAGCTACAACTATTAAGTTATGTTACGAAATTACCAAAGTGAGAGTTGGTGTGTTTCTAAGGCAGGCAAAGTATATGATATTGAGTAGGTTTTTGTTGATGGCTTCTATAAATACTGGAGTGAGTAGTCATGACTGAAGTGCTAAATGTTGAACTCTCTACGTGATACATCCAAATGACTTCTATATTTTAGTTTATTACATTTCTTGTACTTGAGAACATTCAAAGTGATCTGAATGTCTGGAAGATCATGTAGATAACGTTAACCATACAACAAACAGACTATCACTCCATTGCTGAACAAACAAGGTAAGTTAATCTGAACTGACCTTACCTCCTATAACTCTCTAATTTAGGGTTAGGTTAGGTTAGGTTAGCTTAGGTTACGTTAGGTTACGTTAGGTTACGTTAAGTTACATTATAATAAGTGATGAAAATTTACATGAAAAACAAGAAATATTATCATACTGAACTAATTTTCATTAAGTTATTGAAATAAAATATATCCACATTTCGTGAAATAAGGATAATCGCCCGATTAATGTTAAAACGAAAATTGACATTTTTGCCAAATGGGGATAACATGTTTAAGTAGATACAGTTTAATTGAATGCTAATCATTTAAAATTTGGATTATGATTATCTGCATGATTGTTTCTGTGTACTGTAGAGGGAATATAAATAATGAATAATTGTGTTTTCTTACATTAGTTTCCAGTAAAGGATTTTTGTCTGGTGTTGTAATATAGTAAAGTAATTATTTAAAACCAAGTGTACAGGTTCTCAAAAAGAAGCGGCCGAGGCTCCCCTACAGTTGTACACCTATGATATAACATTTCTAAAAGTTCATGTGAGTGTATGTATGCATGCGTATGCACTTGCATGTGTATGTCCATCTAGGCTTGTGTTTGTGCTTATGCATGAAAGAAAATATAGAAAAAGTCTAATTATATCCTAATTAACCTTAATCGTCTTCCCTGCAGCATAAGCGACGTTCAACAATTATTTCTCATTAGCGGTGACAGATGAGACGACCCTTACCTGTGTGGGGGTTAATCTTGAAGTGAGCGAGCTTGTTGCCCTTTGTGATGGCGAGCGAGAGGTTAGAGGGCGCCAGGTCCCCGTCCATGGCCTTAAGGGTGATGACTGAGGTGTCGGGCGGGGAGTTCTCAGCCACGTACGTGTGATACGACGGTTCCTCCGTCTGGGGGATGTGGTCGTTCACGTCCTCCACCTCCACGTACACCTGCAGCAGAAAATAACAGCGTTTGTTAGGCCAGGTGGTGAGCTACTCAGAAATATCTGAAATTTATGTCACCTGAAATTAGTGTATATGGACCTGTACCTGATGTTAATGAGATGTACGTCTGCTGTGAGACACCTGAGGTAAAGTGACACTAGCGATGTTTGTCAGGTGCTATTTCTGGCACCCAAGTAATATATTACATGGTGTATGTTTTAACGTGTGACTTACAGCAACCGGGGTGAGTGATGTATGATACAGGGGAGTATGGCAACTGGGGTGAGTGATGTATGATACAGGGGAGTATGGCAACTGAGGTGAGTGATGTATGATACAGGGGAGTATGGCAACTGGGGTGAGTGATGTATGATACAGGGGAGTATGGCAACTGGGGTGAGTGATGTATGATACAGGGGAGTATGGCAACTGGGGTGAGTGATGTATGATACAGGGGAGTATGGCAACTGGGGTGAGTGATGTATGATACAGGGGAGTATGGCAACTGGGGTGAGTGATGTATGATACAGAGTAGTATGGCAACTGGGGTGAGTGATGTATGATACAGGGAGTATGGCAACTGGGGTGAGTGATGTATTATACAGGGAGTATGGCAACTGGGGTGAGTGATGTATGATACAGAGTAGTATGGGCAACTGGGGTGAGTGATGTATGATAAGCAGGGAGTATGGCAACTGGGGGTGAGGATGTATGATACAGGGAGTATGGCAACTGGGGGTGAGTGATGTATGATACAGGGGAGTATGGCAACTGGGTGAGTGATGTATGATACAGAGGTATATGGTAACTGGGGTGAGTGATGGAGGATACAGGGAGTATGGCAACTGGGGTGAGTGATGTATGATACAGGGAGTATGGCAACTGGGGTGAGTGATGTATGATGGGAGAGTAGATGGCAACTGGGGTGGAGTGATGTATGATACAGAGTAGTATGGCAACTGGGGTGGAAAGTGATGTGCGATACAGGGAGGCGGCAACTGGGGGGTGAGGATGTATGATACAGAGTAGTATGGCAACTGGGGTGAGTGATGTATGATACAGAGTAGTATGGCAACTGGGGTGAGGATGTATGATGCTGTGGGAGTATGGCAACTGGGGGAGTGATGTATGATATAGGGTAGTATGACAGCTGGGGTGAGGATGTATGATACAGGGAGTATGGTAACTGGGTTTGAAGGTTGAAGATGACAAGTGAGGTGCATACAGAGGAGTATGACAGGTGAGGTGTACAGAGAGGAGCATGACAGGTGAGGTGTACAGAGAGGAGCATGACAGGTGAGGCGTACACAGAGGGGCATGGTAGGTGAGGTGTACACAGAGGAGCATGACAGGTGAGGTGTACACAGAGGAGCATGACAGGTGAGGTGCACAGAGAGGAGCATGACAGGTGTTGGTGCACAGAGAGGAGCAAGACAGGTGAGGTGTACAACATATGAAGCATCTGGGGACAAACACATTCAACGCTTAAAATAGATGAAAATAAAATAAACATTTAAATACGATTACACTTTATGTTTACGGGCATGACATGTGAAGCGTGTGTTAACAGAGATGGACCTAACATATGTGACTACTAAGAGCACCAATCGTGAGGCACTGTGGAGAGTTTGATATCAGAAATGTACATCAGAGAACGTCAATACATCGCCCCGAATCAGATAAACATAATAGTTAAGACGAAAGAGGTTTGAGTGACCATGTAGTGCCTCGTGTCACATGTGTTGAGAGGCCTTACCGATATCAAGTGAAAAACAAAATCCATGAAAGAAAAAGATCGCCAAACTTTCTTAAACAGTAGAAGACACTCTATCAAGTTCCCTTTACCACCAATATACGTGGCTACTGTGTTCCCTCATGTCTTACTACTGTACCTCACACACCAACACACTGTTCCCTCATGTCTTACTACTGTACCTCACACACCAACACACTGTTCCCTCATGTCTTACTGCACTTAGCACACCAACACACTGTTCCCTCATGTCTTACTACTGTACCTCACACACCAACACACTGTTCCCTCATGTCTTACTACTGTACCTCACACACCAACACACTGTTCCCTCATGTCTTACTACTGTACCTCACACACCAACAACACTGTTCTCAGGTAATACTGTACCTCACACACCAGCACACTGTTCCTCATGTCTTACTACTGTACTCACACACCAGCACACTGTTCCCTCATGTCTTACTACTGTACCTCACACACAGCACTGTTCCTCATGTCTTACCTCACACACCAGCACACATGTCCCTCATGTCTTACTACTGTACCTCACACACCAACACACTGTTCCCTCATGTCTTACTACTGTACCTCACACACCAACACACTGTTCCCTCATGTCTTACTACTGTACCTCACACACCAACACACTGTTCCCTCAGGTCTTACTACTGTACCTCACACACCAACACACTGTTCCCTCATGTCTTACTACTGTACCTCACACACCAACACACTGTTCCCTCATGTCTTACTACTGTACCTCACACACCAACACACTGTTCCCTCATGTCTTACTACTGTACCTCACACACCAACACACTGTTCCCTCATGTCTTACTACTGTACCTCACTCACCAACACACTGTTCCCTCAGGTCTTACTACAGTACCTCACTCACCAGCACACTGTTCCCTCAGGTCTTACTACTATACCTCACACACCAACACACTGTTCCCTCAGGTCTTACTACTGTACCTCACACACCAACACACTGTTCCCTCAGGTCTTACTACTGTACCTCACACACCAACACTTGTCCTCTCACTTGCTCATCCCCGTTAGCCCTCGAACGAACACAGTATTTCAGCTCATCTCGCGTTATTTCGGACACGGGATCCAGTAACAGAAACTTAATAGGACAATCTCACTTCATATGTCATTCTCTCACACATCCAGACCACAGGCGACTCGTCTTTCAATTACTCAGCCACACCTCATCAACCTCACACCTAAACCAATCGGAGTTTTTTCACAAATGCGGTGAATGTAATCCATCGTCATCACATTTCTGTGAAAATTAATACAGCAGCCTTGAATCAAACTTCACTTTATGTATAATAAAAGTAAGCTTCAGTGTTAACTTAGATAATGCCCTTGTTTTATTAAAGGGTCTGACACTATTAAATCTTAGTCATCTATTGTATTGAGTTATATGATCACTTTGTAGTTATGTTTCATCCGTTCAGTTTTCATAAGCAACTTTTTTCTCTCTCTCTCTCTCTCTCTCTCTCTCTCTCTCTCTCTGGAATTAAAATTGTTTATCTAACTAGAAAAATACAGATTTAAAGTGAGCAACAACAACATTATTAACATGGCTAAGACCTAATGAGGGTACAAACATGTAGGTAGTACATTTATCACAGGGAAACTGTTATATAACATTTAGTATCATCTGGATTACAACAAGTTATATGGTTAAGTAAATTCATATTACGTAGTCTGTTAGCACCCATTCACACATTATATTGTATTCTATATATTATTATATCTATGTTTTGTATTGAGTTGTTGATTGACAGTAAGATACAGTAAGATTACAAGGGAGTGAAAACAGTATAAGATGGGCTATGTCAAGATGAAACACTAGAACAATCTCTCTCTCTCTCTCTCTCTCTCTCTCTCTCTCTCTCTCTCTCTCTCTCAGTATTCCGTGAACGCTCCACATTCAACTCCAAAAGACTGTATTACTTTATTACTGAATGAAGACATCTAAGAACCCTCTAAACATGATTTTGGATTCAATCAAGTTTTTCAATCCCCAACTTTGTGCTTCCTTCTCTTAACTCTTTTGTTCTTCTTTATAAATCCGTCGAGTTTATGGCAGCTGTTGATAAAAAAAACGCCCTTTACATAAGCGGTGAACTTCGAACAGCCCGAATAAACTGCATGTGGACTATATCTCATTCGCTTAAACCAAATACTGAGTTTGGGCTTATGGCAATTTTATAAAGATCTTATATACAGACCTCGGCTTAATGACTTAGCCTTTTTATTATCTCGATTACTAAACAAAAATATTAATTTGTGAAAAGTGGAGTAAAAACTTTATATATTTCTTCTTTATCTAAGAGTTAATGTGTTGTCCTGGTCAGGTGGGTTAGGGTATGAACTATCTCTTGTAGGGGTACGTGGACCAACTGCCTCATTAATGTTACTCAAGGGGAAATGTTAATAGGCCTAAGACTTTTGAAATAATGTTGGGTAACAAATATATATAAGAGTTATGTCAGTTTTATTTGTGAAGATTTTATAAAAGGAATTGTAGCTTAAAGTGTTTTAGGATATTTACACAGATCTGGAGAATTTGGACTGGTTTCATTATTCATTGACCATATAAAAATAAGCCGAGTCCTCATCAGATTAAAAATTTGGGGAACTCCTACAAAAGGAACAAGACATTATCATATTGATACCTTGATCATTTCTTCAAAGGCCAAATTCTTATTCAAGTCAGTAATATCAACAGTAGAGATGACGTGTTGTATGAATCGGCTTTTGGGGCGAAAGGAGCTGTGGGGAGGGGTGAGGGGTCATGTTTGGAGCTGTGGGGAGGGGTGAGGGGTCATGTTTGGAGCTGTGGGGAGGGGTGAGGGGTCATGTTTGGAGCTGTGGGGAGGGGTGAGGGGTCATGTTTGGAGCTGTTCATATATATATGTTCCAGGGTATAATCTTTTATCACTATGGTAAACACTTTCACATACAGTAACACTTGTTTGCTGTGTTCCGCCATGCCTTGTCTGCCGGATATTACAACTTGGTTTTCTTATGTGTAAGCTTTGTGGTCTTCCTTCTAATGAATTTTATTTTACGATACAGATATTTTTTACATTTTCTTGTGACTTCGCTCTTGAGTGGCCGAATATTCATTTATTTCAATATTTTTCCCTCGTATATTTTTTTAATCGACTAGATAATTTGATTTGTTAATTCACACTATTCAATATTTTCTTCGAATATTACATTATTTCTC